TTAGAGAGTCAGTAACTCAAGAAATAAGTAGCAGAGTGGGGCGTGTTGGGATTTTCCACAGCCTCTCCTTGTAATCACTCTCTGTGAACCACTACTCTCTGGACTGTTTTATTCTCTATTATCTTATTCACAAACCTTGTAAGCAACCAGCAGCAGTTCCAGCCCGAGTGCAGGGGCAGGAATCTACGTCTGAGTCAAAGAAATTGAGGTTCACACCCAAACAGACGTCCAGGAAGGACTTTCTGTTTCACCGGGGAAGTGGGCCTTCGTATCTAGAAGGCTGGTGCAGTGGTTTCTCAGTCTTTTAAGAATCTGTTTTGTAGTGACCCCTCTCCACCTACACAGGAGCTCTGAACTCCCCTCTCCTCACATTTTTAATACCCACGGGAGAACCGGAGGCACGGCTCCTTTAAATCTTTAATCTTGGTGTGTGTGTCCATTCTCTCCTAACACTATTTTCCTAGATGGCATGGAGTAGTGGATGTGTCTGAGGGTGGGTGGGGCCAGGAGACATGACCCTGAAATTCCCCTTTACATAAGGAAGTCTTCTGGGACCAAGTCAAGGCAGTCCCCTTCATTTGAGAATAGAAGAATGTTCGAAAGTGTTATAACATCTTTTTAAAAAATGATTACAGCCTGGCCAGTGTGCTCAGTGGTTGAGCATCCATCCATGAACCAGGAGATTACGGTTCAATACTCAATCAGAGTATATGCTCGGGTTGTGGGCTTAATCCCCAGTAGGAGGCATGCAAGAGGCAGCCGATTGATGATTCTTTCATTGTTGATGTTTCTATCTCCCTCTCCCTCTCCTTTCCTCTCTCAAAATCAATTTTTAAAAAAGATTACAATCATATTTCTTTAGGAGGCCTTTATTTTAAGGGAATATTTGGCACATGGAACTTACAGTATATTTTTATTATGCCGCCTATTTTTGACACGGAAGATCCCTCTTTTCACACCTTGATAACTGTTGCATCATTTATTTTGAGAAGTGTGTGTATGTCAGGTTCATATTTCTGATGGTGAGATAAGTTTATCCGGATCTCAGAGAACATGGTCACTGGGCATGGAAATCATAGGTTACAAAATGAAGCCTTCTTACTAAGCGTTGGAAGATATATTCCTTGGCCTGTGCACCTAGCCTACACTGGCCTGAAAGTCACTGAACAGTCGTACTCAGATCAGTTCTGTAGATGCTCAAAGTGGGACAAGTAAACACTCAAATTTGGACAAAGTCCACCCCATGACTGATAACACGGGGTATTCATAGATCACTCTCTCAGATAATTGCTTAATCTCAGCCACAGCCAATATCATATCAGCTACAGATGAAAACGTGAGGAGTGATCATATTTTAGGATGACTTCAGTGGGATAGAATGACTGAGATTTTTTATTTTGACTAATTATTTACTTTATACTATCCCTTCAAAGAGACCTTTTCTTTTAGTGGGAGCCTAGAAAAAAATATGTGGGTGAATAATTAGGCTAAAAATAGATGGTGAATCTTCTCATTCTAAAAGCTATGGAATTCCCAATGCAATGTGAATCTCAGCTGGAATTGGTGAGGTCAGGAGTACAAAAGATGGATTGAATGTAACATTTTGTTGTACATCATGAAATCTGTATGTGGTAGGGTACTTTTTCCCAAAGGTTCTGTTACAATTGAGTGCTGATGCCCATCAATTGACATAATAATCCCTCCTGCAACCAGTAACCTTGACCTCTCCTTAGAAGCCTTCTGACACATAAAGGAAATGTGAGCTCTGGTCAAGGTCCATATCAGATTCCCCTTTCAGTTGGAGATTCAGTTCCATCAAGTCAATGAACTTGTAAATCCTCATAGAAGCCTTCCTGAATTTGGATTCTCCTCTTTACCATCAGTCTCTCTTCCACTGCTACATCCTGTTTACTCCCTGGGAATAAATAGAAACACTTGTTTCAAGCCTTAAAACCCCTGAGTCCACATTACAACCTAGGACTCAACCACCCTTTTTGCCTTTAGTTTTACTATGTACTGCATCCAAGAGTGCCACATTGTCATTGGGACCAACATCAGTTGATGCTTCTAATTTGTGATGTCTATCTATACCAAGTGAATCTTATATACTAGAAGCCCGGTGCACGACATTCATGCACTGTGGGGGAAAGGGTCCCTCAGCCCGGCCTGCGCCATTGCGCGGGCAGTCAGACAGGGGTCCTTAGTGCTGCTGCGGAGGCGGGAGAGGCTTCTGCCACCGCCACTGTGCTTACCAGCCATGAGCCCGGCTTCTGGCTGAGTGGCGCTCTCAGCACTGACCACCAGGGGGCAGCTCCTGCATTGAGCGTCTGCCCCTTGGTGGTCAGTGCGCATCGTAACGACCAGTCATTCTGCCATTTGGCCAATTTGCATATTAGCCTTTTATTATATAGGATTTGTATAACCCATGGGCACAGACAATAGTGTGGTAGGCTTGGTTGGGGGGGTGGGGAGAGAGTAGGGAAGAAGGAGGGGGTCAATGGGGAAATAAAAGGGGACATCTGTAATACTTTCAACAATAAGTATACATTTTTAAAAAACAAAGTGAATTCATTGCTGGCTCTATTAATCCTACAAAGTCCATGAATCCTTAATGTTCAGTGTTCTTCGAATGAGCAGCAATGTATTTGTTCCTTCTCAAATATAACTTCTTGCTAAGCTTCAGATGAGCTCCTTTTAGATAACATGCCTTCTATCTTGGATGATTTATTCACTTTCATGTTCCCTGGGATTTATTGCTAGAGGTTGATGTGAATACTTACAGTTTGGGTTCCAATATAATCTCCTGGATGGCAATTAATAAATAAAAGATGGCTACTATTGTCAACAGAAGGATGAGGCTTTCTCAGACACTTTCATCTCCGTGTTTTCACCAAACTTCATATCAAACATCCCTAGGGCTTGATGGTATAAAATATTTTCTGTAAACTCCAAAGCTTTTACTGTTGCTTCAATACCCCAAGCCTCCATGTTGCTTTTTTGTTTTCTTGTCAGAAATGACCTTACTCGATTTCTGTTTATTCAACTTACCTTCCTTCCTGTGAATATAAGAAACATCTCCCTTTTTGGATTTAGTAGGAATGTATTCTCAATAATTATGACTTGCAAGTAGTACCTGAAATATGTCCCTGAAATCTATTGGGATTTTGTTTTTTGCTTAGTCTCATCTCTGTTGCATTTATTGGAGATGCATTATCACTCCATGAAATGCGGTGTTTATTGTCATCATGTGTATTATTCAAAGTGCAAAATTGCCTCTTGAAAGTTAATGATGAAACTGTAAAAATATATCCAATTTTTGCAGTTTGCCTGCTTGACTAAGCTCGAGGGTAATCTAAACTAATGCTCTTCTTTTAGAGACGAGGAATCTGGAGGCCACTTGAAGTAGCTTGACCATAATCAGGAAGAAAGCAGAGGCCAAATGACATTAGGCAGCGTGATGCAGAAAGGGTGGAGTTAGGCTGCCGCAGGACAGTGCCCAGTTCTGACACTTAAGTGTATCACTTTGGGCCAAGTATTTCACTGCTCTGTGCCTCAGTTTCCTCATCTGTAATGGGACTGACAGTAGTGCAGTAGCACAACTATTAGGCTTATAGTAAGGTAATACAGGTAAAGCGCTTAGAACAGGACTAAGCATCCTTAGCTGTCAGCATTCTTGTAATTATTTTGACTATTTTTAATATATTCAGAACTTATGAAAGGTGTGTGTTGTTTTTTAATGTTATGTGTGTTTATGTAGGCATTTCATCTTTGTATAGGCATTACTTCTTTTGTGTTCTTTGCATTATTTAGTGCTGTGTTAAGCAATTAGTATTAAAGGTGGGCGCAGTAGAAGAGCAAAGATACTGATCGTAGTTCAGTGAGCCTTATTGTGTGCTAGGCACTGAAGTGTAGGTACTTTATGTACACACCCCTGGACATGCACACCATCTATATCTACTGAAAACCTGCAAAGGAGTTTATTTCTAGTAATGCCAGTGTAGCCTCGTCATCTTAATCTCCTTCATAACTGGAGAGGATCGTGAGCCCTGGCCCTGGTGGCAAAGAGCCCTGGTAGGATTCCTTCCATCTTCAAAGTGAGCCTGTGCTGCTGGTATTTGTGTAGCCTCCCCCTATTGTGGACAACGGGGAGCCCGGCTGTGGGAGGGAATGAGGGAAAGGAGGCAGATACAGGGCAAGACAAACAGTACAAATGAAAAATAGTGTATATCAGAACACAAATTATTAAAACCTATTTAGGCATTGCTTATTTCTTTTTGGAATATTATATTATATAAAAAAGCTGCCCCTTTGTAAATACCCAAATAGAAATAATTTGTAACAATAAGCATTCACAGAGAAAAGTTATTTTCCTGCTCGCTTTGCTTTATTTATCTAGAGACTAAATAAATTGTATTCACCATGCACTAATAGCCACCAGAGTAAGGCAAAGTATTTAATCACAAAAATTGCAATCGCTTTAGTGTTCTTTGATTTCTGTGTGTAGGGTACTTAATAATTATAAAAGCAGTGATGGAAGTAATAAAAGCTACAGGGTATGGGGGTGCTCGAGATGGGTACTGGAGAACAGCATCCTTTACGCTGGGTGCTCTGTGTAGGTATATGTGAAAGTGTGTGTGTGTGCATAGGCACACACAGTCATATACACACTCTCACACATGGAATCTCTGCAGACCGCTGTAACCTTTCAAGTGTATATGTATGTGTGCGTGTGCCTATGCACATATATACACATACATGTTTATTTCTATATATGATACCATCTTAAATCTTTCCACAACTTTATACAAAAGGAAACTAAGGCTCAATGAAGTCAAGCCACTTGCTCACAATCACAGCAAGAGGCAAAGCCGGGGTTGATCCCCAGCTGCCGCCCGCTTAGCACCCCTTTTGTAAGATGCCCAGAGACAGCAGACCTTGCCAGGTCACCACCCTGCTCGTAGGAAAGAGGTGACCGTTGACCGTTGGCCTTTCTCTTCCAGAATCTCCCAGCAAGGACTTCGGCCCCACTCTGGGACTGAAAAAGTCCAGCTCCCTGGAGAGCCTGCAGACGGCGGTGGCCGAGGTGCGCAAGAACGAGCTGCCGTTCCACCGGCCCCGGCCGCACATGGTCCGCGGCCGCGGCTGCAACGAGAGCTTCCGCGCGGCCATTGACAAGTCCTACGACGGCCCCGAGGACCTGGACGGTAGGGCCAATGCCTCCTGCGAGGGCTCCTTCATCCCGTCATTACCCACGATTCGCGGGCGAGAGTGTGTGCTTAACTGCGGAGGAAACTGACTTAAGGATCCCAATTATAGTTTCGATATTAAAAGTAATTCATTTCCCTGATGTGTTTTGCCCTTTGGCTTAACGAACATGAGATTGCATAAGGCAGCGTGCAATTTATTCTACTGCGCAGACGCGAAAGAAATGTTCACTGTCACTTTCCTGCGAGGACCAACTGTCATTCCCCCTGAAGGCGGGAGCGCTCCGTCTGCGTTTCTTGACATTCTTATTGGAGCCATTAGAAGCAGCATCAACCCCCACCCCCACCCCCAACGACTGCATTAATGGGGTGGAAGCAGTCGGGTTATCTTGCGCTCAAAAGCCTCTCCTGGGAATAACTCCCCCTGCTTGTGGCCCAGCAGGTGCGCTTTCTGAGCTGATCAAGGTGAACAAGCTGGCCCTCAGAGAGAGGCGTGCTTTCCCATATGCATCAAGCCTTACCTACTCATCTCCCACTCCCTGCACCAAACCAGATGTAGGTGTTGTCTCTTCAAAGGGTACAAGTGGCCCCTGGGAGGGTAGGCCTGCAGAGCGCTTTTATTCATTCTTCTGCATTTTAACTGTTCTTAGGACGCTAACACGGAGTGCCCCTGACCATGTGTGTTGATATTTTTTCTCTGCACAGACGGGTTGTCTGATAGGAGCTCTCACTCCGGCCACGGAGCCCTGAACTGTGACTCGGCCCCTCCGGGGAACTCTGAGCCGGAGGACCTGGAGAATAAAGCCAGGAAAGCCAAAAAGACGAAAGAGAAGGAGAAGAAGAAAGAAAAGGGCAAAGCGAAAGGCAAGGAGAAGAAGCAGAAGGAGGAGAGTGAAGATCCAGAAAGGAAGATAAAGAGGAAGGGGCTTGGTGCCATGCTGAGGTAGGGCCTTGCTTTGAAGGCTAACTTGGTTTTGGTTTTCATTTGTTCGTTCGTTCGTATCCCGTGGTGAAATCACCCATTTGTGTGCATTCAGCGGCATGCATACAACTTTAAACTGAGAACGCGCTTGCTCCTTTTCTGCGGACGCAGAAGGAGACTTCTTGGGTGGCTCAGAAACTCATGGTGATGACAGGAAGCTATTCTATATCTGTTGTCAAAGACGTGGGCAATTCCCGCAGCCCTTGGTCCCAAAGTGCTATGCGGATAAATTAAATGTGAGTCCTAACTGTGACCTTTAGGACAATCTCTTTGAATAAAGAAGACTGACCAGATGAACCACACCCCCCTCTCTACCCCCATGAGACTAGGTGTGTACGGCCAGGCCTGTGGGCACATGGGCTGTCTGTCACCTACAGAGGCTCTGGGATCCAGTGGAGGTGTCACTGGGTCTGGAGTCAGATGACGCTGGTCTGAACTCATGCAGTAGCTGCTGGGTTCACACATACCACTTACTGCCCTGAGCCTGAGTTTCCCCGCTCTCAGAGGCTGGCATACCTGCTCTCCTGACACGTGTGAGACAAGGTCTCCTGTGCAATCGCTCCGTTGACTAGGCATGGTCACAGCTCCAGTCCGAAAACAACCCCTGCATTTGGGTTGGTGTCAGGACCACACCTGCTTCTCAGTCTGCAGCCGGAGGTGGGGAGAGGAGGAGGGGGAGCTGGGGGAGGGGGAGGGAAAGGCACTATTACAACAAGGACAGGGTTTTACTTAACTGGTTGTACCTGGTATAACTGGGCTGTTGGGTGCCCTTTTGTGGGCCACTTTTGTGCATTTTTCAGGGGGCTCCCTACTGCACCAATAGTGACATAGGAGTTTCATTTTCTCACTGACTTCCTGAGGCCCGCTGACCTCAGACCACATAGCCCTGGGGCCTCCTCCTCACCCCAGCTGGTCCACCACAGTCCGAGATGGTCGTAGCCTAACTTCCTCTACAGCATCCACTCGGCTCACTGGAAAGGTGATCTCTTGTCCCTCCAAATGCCAGAAGTACAGTCTGTTCCCCGGTCCCTTTCCTCCTCACCCTGCTCCAGGATGCCCGCCCAGCCTGACACCTCAAAATTCTCCAGGGCAGACTCAGGCATGGCTCTGCCTCCCCAACTCGAAGGCCACGTTCCAAACTCTCCCTGGAATGCTCTCAAGCTGGGGAAGATCAGCAAATGTTTGCAAGTCACCCAGCACATATGTAGGAAGTGGGATGACAGTCTCCTTTCATGCAGTTGCCTTCACATTCTCAGAGGGGATTTCTGCAACCTCCCCATTAGTTTTGTTGGTGTGAGAGATGGAAACGCCCCTGTTCATTACATTCCTTACTCACAGAAAACCTCTCTTTCTCTCAGTCTCTACCCTCTGTCCCATGTCTGAAGGTGAGTGAGAGGAGGGGATAGGTGATGAATCACTTTGGCCTTCATATTAAACCCTTAGGAGATCTCTCTCTTAAAGATGCTGAGTGGTATTTGTCATCAGATGTTCTCTGTGTCTGGATCTTGAACTGAAATTTCTCACAGATACGGAAAATTTCATTTGAATTTTGTTATTCATATATATATCCTAAATATCCTCTCTGTTCAATCATTTATATGTAATAGTTGTTCATATGGAAAATAATGCAATAATTAAATAATAACAGTAATAAACTCTGTGTTTCACATACTCATAAACTCCTATATATGACATTTAGGGGACACAAATAATACTGATACCAGTAGACAAATCTCCCAAAGATCAAGGAAATGGATTCTCTCTGAAGAACCTCTAGAAAGGAACACAGACCTGCCAACCCCTTAAGCCACTAAGTTTGTCATACTTTTTTACAGCATCAATAGAAAACTAATATAATTATCATCATAATTATTACTATTTCTTTAATGTCATAGTAATTGATAAGGAAAAGGCTTAACTAGAGTCGTCTATAAATATAAAAATCTCTCAGAGCTTCCCATTTTCTAGAATATTACTATATTAAGCCTTAACTTGATATTTTACTTCAGATGATTGGATTCGGCAGGTTCATACTCCATTGCCCATAACACAGAGCCGGCTTTTCTTGTTGTTCAATATGTGCTATATTTTCCTCTGTTAGAAATCACAGGGCCTCCTAGATCCTTCAGACATCTAGCAACTCAGGGTTTGTTCCTTTCTACTATTTCAGCAAAATTAAGATCTGAAAGGTGGTGTTTGATTTTATCTCTGGTGTAAAAATAGCAACTGTTTTCCATAGCCTTTTGCATCTGAGTTTGTGAGCATATTGGAGCTCCTGCTACATGCACATTTTCAACAACAAAGAACACAAAAGCTGTTACCATTAGCCAAGAGATTTTGCCTTAATTCTCATCTGTTGCTCAGATGCTATTGACTTAGTTTCTTTCTTATTTAAAAAAGATTGATTGCTTTAAGGTTCCCTAGGAGTTAGATGTGTGGTTTAAATATGTATTATTTTTTCCATTAGCTTTTTTCACAGACACTTTCCCGAACCTAGGGCTTTAATGTAGGTTGTGTACTTGCACCATGTACGGTGGCTCCTGGCCAAGGGCCTGAGTGAGGACTGAAATTCTGCTTCCTTTTCCTCACCACGCCTTGCATCGTGGAAGTGCAAATATGTTGGCCGTGGCTATGCTTGTAAAAAAAATGTTGTGTTTGCTTTTCTGATATTAGCTGATCCACTCCTGTTGGTGATATGTAGGAAGTGGTACAGTGCAGCTGATTAATTAATTTAACCTACTCCTGATCCTTTGGAAAAATTGTGGCGGATCTCATTAATTCATATCTTCGCATGTGTTGTCTGGGCCCAGGATGCTGATTCTGTGCTGATTTCAGAATGACCTTGCAGATTCAGCCATGGCTTGCTTACACAGGCCATAAATTACCATGGAAAAATAGGCAGGGCTGGAACCCACCCACGTTGCTAGTTTCCCTGTATCCTGTTTGCCTGCTGTTGAAAGAGAACCTTAGGGGTTCAAACCACTTAGATTCCTCCATTATGTGTTTGGTTTCCTTTAGGCATTGTACTCTTTATGGCACTACCCTGTGGCCGGTGGCTCTTTGTAGCCAAAGAGTGAATGAAACTCAAACCTCTCAATAGACACGCCCATTGCTATCAGCCTTAAGCCACCTTCCTGGGGTCTAGCAGATATTTCCTAAGCACTGAAGAGAAATATCCTTTGACTAACAAAATCTTGCCTGTCTAGAATGAAAAACCCAGGAACCAGTGTCTGATATCTCAATTATTTAATAACCTTGTCGATCTTTATATTCTTTAAACTGAATTCTGCCACAGATTTGTGTTTAAAATCCATTCTTTTATATCATAGCTGCTGTATTATCTTCTTTAAATTATAGGCCACTCACTTCAAAAGCCTTTGAATTGTCAACTGGTTTGGGATCCTGAATGGAAAACCTTGATATTGTTGATCAAGTACCTTTTTCTGTATATTTTTGTGTGATTTTGTTCTCAAAAGAATTGTGCCTAGTGAACTCCATTTTAATGGATTAACCGAGAACAAAGTGTAAAATGTGTCAATAGAGACTTCATCTCTGCTTTTAAATCTTGTTTGCCCTTATTTGATTAACAACATGTATTGAATGCCTACTCATTGCCAAGCACATTAATAATTATTCTTCAGCTGTTCAACTCTATTAAAGGCCTGCTTTGCATCAGGCAGTGTTCTAGACACTAGGCATAAGCAATGAAATCCCTACTTTGATGGTATATTTTTTGTCATAGTGAAGGAAGGAGAAATCAGACTTTTGGGTTTCTTGAGTTTAAAACAAAAATAAGGAAAATATTGCATAACCATGAGAACTACTTACAACAATGCATTTCCCAGGAAGTGGTGAGCCATTTGCCTAGGAGACCTCTGGGAGAAATCAGTCCCTTGTCCGCTCAAGGGGATCAGCAGTCCTTTGATTCTGTGCCACGGCTCTTGCAGAACTTACATTCCAGTGATGGGGAGAGAGTCAGCAATTAACTCAAAATAGTTGAGATGATTTCAGATTGCAGTAGGTGCTATGAAGAGGGTAAGAAGTCAGAAGGGACAGCGTCATCTCACCCTTTGTAACTGTCTTAGCAGGTAACAGAGTGCATCTGCCCAGGCCACGCTGAATTTTTAGCAGATATGTTATCAGAACTTTGCACACTGTGGTGCTGATGCCAAATCACTGTATGCTTGCTTTTTTAAAAAAAATGGTCTGCTACATATTAGTATGGGGTGGTTATTTTTAAACCAGCTTCACATGAAGCCATTATAAAAAGCTAAGTATAAAAATTGTGTCTGTTTCAGTATACAAAGCCCTTTTATACCTGAAGTAAACGTTCTAAAGAAATGTGGTCTTTAATCTAAATAGTGAACTTGGTTTGCGGCTATTTGCATCAACTCTATTCCTCCTAGCCCATCAGTTGAATATTCTTTATTGTTACTTCTTAACTGAGCCAGTGTATGTATGCCTTAAGGTTCAGGGTCTACACAGCAAATCCTAAATCATGAGCCCTAATGACAAAGGTATTTTTAAAAATCTAGAGGCATCAGCTTTTTATTTCTAAGCTTTGCAAATCTAAAGCATCTATGTTCATTTGATTTATACTAAAATATACTATATATCTTATTGAAATTAGGGCAAATCTATATAATGGCACTATACTGTGAGTTTTTGAAAAGACACTCCTACACATACACACACTCACTCTCACCCTCCTCTTCCTCCTCCTCCACCACCACAAACAACAACACAGACATCACCACCACCGAATTCATACCTAACCTAGTTAAATATCTGTCCCTTATGAGCTCTGAGTACTTCAATCTCCAGACTTTCATTAATCCCTTTGAATCTCAGTCTACTCATCAGCAAATTGGGGATAATAACACATTCTCTCAGAGTTATTGTGATGTTTAAGTTCAACAACTTATGTAAAGCAAGCTGTCAGCCTGACTTGCTAGGCTTTA